AATTAGTAAACCAAGTGAAATAAATAATGAGATTGAATAAATCTCACCCTGGCTTTTGGTCTCATGATTTCATCTAGTAAGTTGTTAGATAACATTGACTGGGGGCTGTGAAACAGAAGAATTTTAAAAGAGTCCCAAAAGATGAGCAACAAATTACAGCTGGCTTCTGTATCACCTAAGCCATTCCAGTTGAAATTCGTGACCTACTTTGTCTTACATTCTGTTGCCATAGTGCCTGGGTTAAATGTGTAACGAAATAAAATTGATTTCCAGTGTAAATCTTAATTTTTATTGTGCCCTGCAGTGCTGCATGAATGATGCATGTGTGATAAGCCTCACATTAGAAGATTCTTGGGGGAGTTTTGAGATTTAAAGTATTATGGCCTCTATCAGTGGTTATTAAAATAATACATTTTCTGTAGATGTGTATCATTTTCTTAAAGAAGTTAGTGACTTTATGAATATCCTTAGGCACAAAGGGAACAGGTTTTTCTGACTGCTTCAGAAGCAATCCCCAATTTACGCTGGTCACATAAGTGTTTCCTAAAAAGGAAAACAATATCTATCTTGAAAAGTATAAGCTTCCAGCTCAAAGACAAATGCTTGTTCCCCAAGTGTTTTAATGCCTCATTGAGTTTAAAAATCAATTCCATAGTAAAGTACACTTTTAAAATTCTTGAAACCTTATCTTCATTAAAAAAAAAAAATCTCAGCTGGCAAACATCTCCTGTCAACAGTAGCATATGTGTGTAGGGGAATGGGTGGTTGGGGGAGGAGGTCTAACCAACAATAAGGGCCAACTTCCAGCATTCTCTCCAAAAGAACACAGTTTCTTCTGAAATGATAAGACTTTATATTTTTAAATTACACTTTATATTTTTTAAATATTATTTGCATTTAAGTCTGTTTCCTTAAATTGGGGAATTTATGGGGCAGATTAAACCCCAAATCTGCTGTGTTTGGCCTACACAAAATTTGCTGTTGATTCTAGTTTTCTTTCTGTTTAATCTCTCTATTTCAGTTTGAGTGTTTTTGGAAAGGTCAGCTTTCCAGTTGTATTGACCCTACCACTATCTCATGTCCTATGCCTGGCACAATTCACTCCCTGAAGTTATTTACTTGAATCTTATAGACATTTTGATCTTGTTACCTTTGCCTTAAATCTTTTGGGTGGAGTGATACATAAATTAACAAATTATGCTGAGTACAGTTATTCATCTAGATGTTCATTTACATGTAGAAGTTGTTTATATTATTTATTTTAATAGATTCCAGACCTGTTTTGCTTTCGTTTTTTGAATGAGTATTTTAGCTTTATTGTAGGTAATGGGGGTTTCTTTCAAGTCTAGAGAGAGAAATAAGGAAGCCCGAAGGCCCTTTGAGCATCTCTCTGATTTTCCCTTTTCTAATTTATGACTGCTGGGGAGTTATGATTTATGCTTTCCACCTCTTCTCAGTTTGCTTCCCTTGTTCTGTATATATCTATTAACTGTTTCTTTTTTCTGAGGTTTCATTTTCAAACTCCCGGAGACAGAGAATCAGGTATGGAGAGCCCAGGCCTGCTCACCAAGGTTTGCCTATTATCCTATCTGTCCAAAAATATACTAGGGAGAGCTGCAATGTGACAGGACTATGCCTGATAATTGGTGCATAAGAAACTGCTTTTGGCTGCTTGCTCAATATAGGGTTTTTGTGAGCAGGCATGCAGAATCAGAGATTCCACTGCATGGAGGAGACCAGAATTCATTTGTGGTTAAGAGCATGCATCCTGGAATCATATTGCTTGGGTTCATAACTTGACTCCACCATTTACTGGCTGTGGAATCTAAATGAGTTATTTCACTAATCTGAGTCTCAGTTTCTTCATCTGTCAAATGGGGATAGCAAAAACATATACCTCCTAGGGTTGCTGTAGGGATGACTCAGACAATATGTGTGAAGGACAAAGCACAGAGGTGGACATATAACAAAGACTCAATTCATGTTGGTTATTATAATCAAAATAATCATGATTATTATTTGGATACTTTCACAGGTTTTGGACAGCACTTTTCATGTAGTAGCTTCTCAATAAACATTTGCTGAATGAGTACATGAACTAATAAATTAGTCAAATATCAGTGGCTGAAATATGTAGTCTGGCTGAGTAAATCATTTTACAGGTGATACTTTAAAACATTATACTTAGGGACTAATATAAGTGTTCCATCTCTTTTACAATTATTCCCATCATGAGATTTGCATTTCAAGTAGGCTTTAAAACAGAGGAGTTTTTTCTTTTTCTTTTTTTTTTCCCTCCCCACAGTAGCCCTGGATGATCCATTTGTTATTCTTTGAAGGTCCTAGTGAAAAGCTAGCAGCGGCTTTCTATATTGGCTAGGCAACTTGCAGTGTCTGACACAGAAAAATATGTTAATTTTTAGCATGCTAGATTTTCTTTCACAAAGTCATCAGTAATCTCTTACCATGTACTTGACAGCAATAAATATTATTGCTTGGGTTTTCCCCCTAATCTGGAAAGAACAAAGTGATATAATAGAAATGTTAAGCCTGAAATTCATAGATTAGACTCAGACTGGTATGGAATCAAGTGCATTTGATTCCTTTGGAGATAAGCTGTGTTGAAATGGGCAAAATATATTGTAGATCTTTGCTTGGGTAGAATTTATTACCCACTTCTCTTTCTGTTTCTTAGCACATTGTATACCCTGCTTGTCCAGTGTGCCACAGCTATATATGCCACATACAAGTGATCCTTAGGTCTTGCTGCTTGCTTTTCAAAGGGAACTAGGTAGCTCTGGTGCAAGAAAACACTGCTTCAGTACTCCAAGCGTGCTACCTTCATAACTGTAATTGTTGCCATTACCAAAAATGTTGTATCATAAGTATTATTCCCTATCATATTTCTCTAATTTACCCCCATGAAAGAATTTAAAACTCCTATTTTAGATTATCTTCTGTTTATAGTTATCTGTAGCTTTAAAAAATGTATTTTTTTCTACTAGTTCTTTTATTATATCAATTGTAACATTTATATCTACTCAACATTTCAAACTTTTATCTTTCCTATTTTAGTTGTTAAAATATTTTTCTCAGGCATAATTCTTTTTAATCTCATAATTATTGTTTCTTCTTTTCTTCTTTTAAAAGAAAGATGATTGTTGTCTCTTTGGATCTTTTAGTTTTCTGAGTTGTTTTTGTTTTTGTTTTTTTTTTTTGATGGAGTCTTGCTCTGTTGCCAGGCTGGAGTTGGAGTGTAGCGGCGCGATCTTGGCTCACTGCAACCTCCGTCTCCCGGGTTCAAGTGATTCTCCTGCCTCAGCCTCCTGAGTACCTGGGGACTACAGGTGTGCACCACCATGACAGGCTAATTTTCGTATTTTTAGTAGAGACGAGGTTTCACCATGTTGACTAGGATGGTCTCGATCTCTTGACCTTGTGATCCATCCACCTTGGTCGCCCAAAGTGCTGGAATTACAGGCATGAGCCACTGTGCCCAGCCTCTGATTTTTATCTTTTATCTTCTTTTTATATCTTTTGTTTGTTTATAAATAGGCAGAAGAAAATCTAGTTATAGAGACAGATCCAAAAAGTTTTATTTATGAATTGGTCACAGATGGAGAAGGAAAAAAATAATTAGTGTTGAAACCCACCATTTTAACCAGAGCAAATGGGTTTAAAAGAATGCAACTGAGATAGGAAAAACTGGGGGAGGAGTATGTTGTAAGAGAAAAATAATACTTTCTTTTTCTATCACTACCATGTAATAAAGAGCATTTTTTAACATCAAAAAAGACATAAACCCAGATATTTTAAAATGAATACTTTTGATTTTCTGAAAAATTCAATAGATCGTCTGTTTTCTTTTTCATTTTGCGGTGAATTAATGAAAACTTCTGGCATTAAGGAATACTTGCAGTAGATAATGGAAGGATTTATATTTCAGGAAAACTCACTCTGGTACCTGTATAGAGAATAGATTGGAAAATATTGAAGACAAAAGCTCAATTAGGACCAGTAATAGGAAGCTGTGGAGGTAGATTACAATTTGAACACTGTGAGGAAGAAAGGTATCCACAAAACTGTTGATAAGGAGGCTGGAGGTTGAGGAAGTTGTGCCTAATGCACTGGCGTGTTCTCAGTAATGAAAAGCAACATTTGCTGGGAGTGATGTGGTGGAATTTTTTTTTTTTTTGAATAAAAGATAATGTGTTGAGTTAAAAATGGAATCCAGCTGTTTTAATAGGCATACTTAAATCTTTCTGAGCTTCAGAGAAGGAGTCCTGCCTAGCCAACCTGTTCTTAGTATTATGTTTTATTTACCATGGCTTTGGAAGCCACAAAACTCTATCCGTTTATTTGAAATAAAATAGTAAGTAACTTGTAAGTGTATCAGACATATATTAAATATTACCTTCATCAATAAGATCATGAGTTTCTCAAAAACAAGAGTCCCATTTTCTTCCTACAGAGGTGGCCTACTGTTTAGTGAAAAGAGCCCACGCCTTGGAGAGCCACACCGCAAATCTACCACCCTCAGGCTCTTCATCTGCAGTGGCGGTAATGACGCGCACGTCATAAGATTCTTCAAGGTATTTGGTGAAATAAAGGATGTGTAAAGGAGAAGGGATTTTACATGAGTTAGCTATACCTTTCTCTTCTTTCTCCTTCAATGTACTCAGGCCTGGGTACGTACAGAGGGCACTAATGGCGTGGGGCCAGAAGAGCTTTTAATTTTGGAATTCTGAAGAACTGAGAACTCATGACTCTGTCATCAGCTCTGAAATGGAATATAAATAAAGTTTTGTCAATTTTTTTTAAAGCACCCACTAAACTACAAATCCCTTCTCTCTCCTCGAGGTGGACGGGTCACGTGGCTTTCCAGGAATCCGGAAGTCTGGTCCGCTCGCCCAATCACGCCCGGAATCCTAGCTAGCGGCGCCAGGTTGGCCATTCCTGGGGAAGCTTGCTCTCCGCCAAGCCGGGTACCGCCTCCGCGCGCCGCGCTGACGGGTCGTTAGCGGATACGGCGGCCGCAGGGGCGGAGTCAGGGGCCTTTGCCCGCCTTGGCGGTCGGCTCTACCTTCCAAGTTCTCGCCTCCTGCTCCGCCATGGCTCCCAAAGGCAGCTCCAAACAGCAGTCCGAGGAGGACCTGCTCCTGCAGGATTTCAGCCGCAATCTCTCGGCCAAGTCCTCCGCGCTCTTCTTCGGGAACGCGTTCATCGTGTCCGCCATCCCCATCTGTGAGTGCTGGGAGCGAGGCTGGTTTGGGAGGCCGCGGGCGGGTCGGGCTGGGCGGGGACGTGGCAGGACCCAGCCAGCAGGCCAGGCGCGGGTGCCGGCCGGGGGTCTGCGATCTCTCCAGCTCCCCTGAGCTCGGGGAGGCACAGAGCCTCTTCTTTGGGCACGGCGTTGTCGCCTGGGATCGTCCTGTTAAAGCACTCCGGCAGGTCACTTGTTAAAAGTACGCACGTTCCCGAGCTCCACCCCCGGAGAAGGTGGTTAACTAGTTCTGGGGTGGCGGCCCCGAATCTGTATTTAAACACACTCAAGCATACTGCCTGCTGCTCTTTTCCATACAACTGTTGCTTGCCGTTACGAAATTTTAAACTTACGTTATTACTTATTTTGGATAAATTAATTAGGTGAGAGACCCATGAAGTAACCCACTGAATTAGAAGTGCATCTTTACGTGAGCTACTTTACACCACTGCATAATTTTCCTGGTTTTTGCAAAAAGAGAGAAATTGAAGTGCCAGGGGTTGGGGATCTACCTTGTTTAGACTTTTTAAATAATCCCACTGTACCAATTCTAGAATTCTCACTGAGTTGGGAAAGTGCAGACTTGCACAATGTTGTTTTTAGTAGAGCTCAAGGTTCCAGAACTCTTGTCTTTTGCTGCACTGTTGTTGGAGCATTTAAAACCAAATGTATTTTTCTCTTTTGTCCTTATACAACCCAGCGTGCAATTAACGTGATGTGAAGCCATATTATGGCTCACTCATTTGACAGCACTGCTTGGATTTCTGATAACAGCCACGTCAGCAAGGAAACTATGGTTTGGGACTGCACGTGGCATTTTGGAATGGCCTGTATTTAGCATGCTAGTACCCTGATGAATGAAATTTGAAGTCTGACTTGTGATTACGTTGAGCCAGAGTTTGTTCTCATTTTAGAAGCAGAAATCTCATCTGAACTAGTAATAGGAAGGTGATGTTTTTCAAATGTTCTGAACTGGAAGGCTTGAGACTATACTGTTAACTGGTTATCTCACTTCTGAAGATCCTCAGATACTGTATTGATTGCATAACTATTAACCTGGTATTTTACCAGGCTTAGCTTTAAATAATTTCGCAGGCTTTTGTTATGGGGTTGTAATGTTTTGTTTCTTTTTGTACTTTCCCCCTTTTATTTTAATTCAGGGTTATACTGGAGAATATGGCATATGGATCTTATTCAGTCTGCTGTTTTGTATAGTGTGATGACCCTAGTAAGCACATATTTGGTAGCCTTTGCATACAAGAATGTGAAATTTGTTCTCAAGCACAAGTAAGTATGTTTTTCAAGTGAAAGTATGTACTACGTGTTGTATTTTTATATGTCTTCTTACAGATCGTTTGTGTATGTTGGTTTTAATAAGCATTAATTTGAGATATCTATGTATTAATATATATATTTTGGGGGAAAGGAACATTGATGCTAGGAAGAATTATTAACTAACTGAAGTGGAGACAATCATTCTGACATGGCTACAGAAGATTTTGAGGGTGGAATTAGAACACTTAAGCCCAAGCCTTAATAGGAGGTTCATCGGAGAAACAAACCCACCAAGTAAATTAACATTTCAAAAGCTAAATGTAATTCTTTATGGAGAGAATTGTTCTGGGCTCTTCATGTATTGTTTTTGGAAGTTAAAGAAATGATCTTTTTGTCATTATTATTATTATTATTATTATTATTATTATTTTTGAGACTGCATCTCGCTGTGTCGCCCAGGCTGGAGTGCAGTGGCTGGATCTCAGCTCACTGCAAGCTCCGCCTCCCGGGTTCACGCCATTCTCCTGCCTCAGCCTCCCGAGTAGCTGGGACTACAGCCGCCACCTCGCCCGGCTAGTTTTTGTATTTTTTAGTAGAGACGGGGTTTCACCATGTTAGCCAGGATGGTCTCGATCTCCTGACCTCGTGATTCCCCCGTCTCAGCCTCCTGAGTCGCTGGGATTACAGGTGCCCGCCATAATGCCCAGCTTTTTTGTATTTTTTAGTAGAGACGGGGTTTCACCATGTTAGCCAAGGATGGTCTCGATCTCCTGACCTAGTGATTCCCCCGTCTCAGCCTCCCAAAGTGCTGCATTATTATTTTTTGAGATAAGGTCTAGCTCTGTTGCCCAGGCTGCAGTGCAGTGGCATGATCATGGCTCACTGCAGCCTCAACCTTCCCAGGCTCAAGCGATCCTCCCACCTCAGCCTCCCAAGTAGCTGGGACTACAGGTGCAGGCTACCATGCCCAGCTAATTTTTTTGTCGGGACAGGCCACGTTGACCAGGCTGGTCTTTTTGTTTTATTACTTTTTTTTAAAGTTAAACTCTCTGTCATTTTCAATGCTAATTACATTTGTTTTCATACAAGTGTATAAAATGTAAAGGATTAACATATTCTAAGATCACACATGTTGTAAAATACAGCTTTTAGAGAAGAAAACTCAAGCCTCACCACCGTAAATTTAAACATTAATTATAAGCAATTAAATATTCTAGTTTCATAGAGGTTAAAATGCAGGAGCATCTAGACTTAGGAAAGATGGTAACATTTATTATTTCTCAGTGTCATGGTCCTCATTGTCTCATTGGAAGTGGTATAAATTATTGTTTAATTGACGCCCTTTGATGTTGCTTTCATGTACACTGTGATACTTGGGTAGGGATAGCAGGATTATTTCCCTCCTTCCTTCATGGGGCCATCTAGGTGCCATATTGCTTTGGAAGTAATTTCTTAAAGGCAATTGGAATTTCACTGAGACTTGAAGTGTGGACATACTTTGTATGTGCATTATCTTTTCATCCATAGTTCTCACTCTGGTTTGGACACTGTTTATACTCATATTGCTGTAACAGCCTCCATCTGGTCTTTTAAAACAAGTTTAGGGCCCACCCTGCCATGCACTATATAAAGCACATTACCCTATGTAATCCTTAGAGCATCCATATGAAGTGCAGGTATTTCCCTTGTTTTACTGAATGAAGAGTATGTATTTCTCCTTATGTGACATCATTTTTATCATGTCATTCTGATAACTCATCATGGCTTTTTTTTTTTTTTTTTTTGAGACAAGAGTCTCACTCTGTTGCCCAGGCTGGAGTGCAGTGGCCCAATCTTGGCTTACTGCAACCTCTGCCTCCTGGGATCAAGCGATCCTCTCACATCAGCCTCCCAAATAGCTGGGACTACAGGCACGCACTACTACCACGCCTGGCTAATTTTTGTATGTTTTGTAGAGATGGAGTTTTACCATGTTGTCCAGGCTGGTCTTGAACTTCTGAGGGCTCAAGTGATCCATCTGCCTCGGTCTCCCAAAGTGCTAGGATTACAGGTGTGAGCTGCCACGTCCAGCCATGGCCTCTTTTTTTAAAAATGTATTAAATTCTAGACCTCTGGAATGCAAGTCATCTGCTTGCTTCCTATGAGTCTGGCCTCATCTTTCAGAATTAGGCTTTAACTCTTCTGCCTCGCCCTCATATCATCCTTTGACCATGTCTTGTGCCCTCCCCCATTTAGGATTAACTTCCTTTCCATTCTTACCTGTGTTTTATTTTGAGACCTAGGAATCTTTTCCAGAGAAACCCTTCCTGACTTTGATCATTTCTTTGCTTTGTTGTCCCTGTGTTAGACTCTTTCGGAGAATGAGGAATAGAAACATGTTGAGATGATCTCAGTTAACAGGGATTTATTTTAAGAAATGGCCCAGAATGGCCTCAGCGGCTGAAGTGGCCTTCACAGTTTCCTTCCTATTGTTCTGGACACAGAGGAGCTCAGGTTTCGGGGCAGCCGTTCTGATGGACCAGCAGAGAAATTGGGTTATCTTTGTTACCTTTCTGCTTGGCAGCCCCTCAACCAACTGCCATTCTAGGATTCAGCTCATGTGGGCCTCCACTGTATGGGACTGTTTCTTGTGAGGCGTGGCCATTTGTGCATTGGGAAGCCCTCGCAAGTGGGCATCTTGTATGACCCATTCTTTGTAATACTCTTGGAACTCAGTCCCTTTGAGACTTACACTTTTTACTTGTTCTTCATATCATTTTTCATTCATCTCTTTAGAATCAAAGTCATGTTCTTTTTACCTTCTCATTTCTACTTTAGGCTTCTTGAAGACACCCGCCATATCTTACTTTATACCCCTTAAAACAGTTAATGGTACATTTAGTTCAGTAAAATTTCACTGACTTACTGACTTAATAGACTCAGAGTAGAGGGTTTTTTTTTTAGTCATAGTTTTGGCTTTATATTAAATATGTTACTGACTTTGAAACTCCTACAGATTTGCAAGATGGTTAAGGTTCAAAGATCCCACAAGATACTGAGTGTGGGTAGATGTTGGCTGTAGAAAGAAGATGGCTTCAGAGTTGACAGTCTGGGTTCCAGTGCCAGCTCTGCCACTCTTAAATGTATGGCCGTGGGCATAGTTTTCCCTATGTAGACTTCAGATTCCTCAGCTATAAATTGGGGATGCTAATGGAATCTCAGAGGGTGGTGAGGATTCATTATGATCATACATGTGACATGTTAAGCATACAGTCTGGCACATAATAAATGTTTATGTGCAGGGTTGAAGAGGTTGGGACTAAGAGAGCCCTTAGAAGTTGTTTTTGTTTTTTAAGGTGGCATAATTTAAACGATGTTTGTAAAGATGTTTTTATTTTAAGAAATCAGGCAGTGTCTTTTTTTAATCTTTAATTTTGGAAGTGTTCTGACATACTGATGTGAAAGAGTAAAGGAAGAAAAATACAATTGATTTTATGGGTTATCTCAGTTGACTGAGTGCTAGGTCACTAGCGTGACTTCTATTTTGTTTTACAGTATTCAGCACCGAGTGAGGTTTATTTTCTGAGAGCTCTAAGACAGAGGGGAGGGCTTCCTCTTAAGTTGCAGTAAACCTGCAGTGTGGTTGTTATGCCCCGGTAGGTGAGGATAAAATTCTAGACCTAGAAGAGAAATTGCTTAGTTATCTGGTGTAATGTCTTCATGAGGATTTGTCATGTGGATAATCGGTTGACTGTTCGTCCTAAAGACACATAGTGATAACCAACTCTTTTGAAAATGCAGTAGTTTATTCCTGTGTCCTAACACCTTGATAGTTGGGGTGTGTGTGTATATTTTTATGTTAAGCTAAGAAAGGTTTCTGCAGTAAACTGTCCATTTCTTTTCCGTTGGTCTTTTGTAGAAAAAAAAAAAAAAAGTAGTCTGATGTTAAGTTCAGGAAACACATTTATTTATTTTTAATTTTTCTTATTTTTCCTGTTCTCATCATCTGTTCTCATGAAGAAACATATTTAGTGCCTGGTCTGCTAAAGAGGTTCAGAGAAGAATCTGCCTGTGGAACTGAGTGTCTCAGAAATGCAAGAAGCATATTAAAAGATAGTTTTTACATAATGAATCAAAGGAATTTGGATCTTTGGAGTAAAAAGTTCATTTTAGTGTCCTAAAGTGTCTCGTAAAAAGACAGCTGTCTGCCCCCTTAGCAGCCTTTTTCTTTAGGTTTCAGAATTGATTTCCTCTTATTGTGTGATTTTTTTTTGTTTGTTTGTTTTTTTAAAGAACTATTTTTTCCTCTTTCCAGTTACCAATTTGTGTGGGGTAACGAGGTTTAAAAAGTAACTTTGTAAACCTTTTAAAAAATACATTATTAGAAACTGACTAAATGTTTTCTTTTTATTAATAACAATGTCAATTCTAACTCAGTTCTTGAGTGAGAGAGCTAAACATGGAGACATAGGTAAAATCAGTTGTAATTTGTGCTTCACTTGTATCCCAGACACCCTTGTAGTTGAAGAAGGGTTGAAAACTCCTGCCTTGAGTGACCTGGGGCTTTCTGTCCATCACACCTAGCTTAAATCGTCCTTTGGAGTAAAGTTAGAATAATTACTTTAAGATATTACAGCTGTTATTTCCTCTTTGTTTAAGCCTAGTTTTCATTCCTGTTATGTACTTGGAATTGAAATAATACATCATATACTAATGCCTTACGAAATTTATTTGTTGAACAGTTAGATGACAGATTAAAACAAAATGTAATTAAAATGATTCTTAACTAAATTGTGTTAATAGCATTTGACTTTATTAACCACATTAATTCCTAAACTTTGGAAAATTCTTTTTAAGCAGAAATCAAAACATGTCACTAATAAATTAACCACATCTTGGACATTTCTTGAACTTTTGGCTAGTGCAGTGTAATAAACTTGGACTTTCTGCTCAGCTTCTTTTCTTGAAATGTGAATATCATTCTGTTGCCAATACGAAATAGGAGTACAGAGTGTTTCTGAGAGAGTGTGATGTTCACCTCTGTAGCATATGGAAACTTTTTCTTTTTTTCTTCCAGAGTAGCACAGAAGAGGGAGGATGCTGTTTCCAAAGAAGTGACTCGAAAACTTTCTGAAGCTGATAATAGAAAGATGTCTCGGAAGGAGAAAGATGAAAGGTTTGACTCCTATTTAAAGTATGGTCATCATAAAAGGGGATACTTTTTGAATAAAATTTTTTTTTATTTTTGCTTAAAGAATGTGGATTTTGGAATTGTCTGAGGTAAATTTTGGAATTGTAGTAGTAGTAGTAATGGAAATAGTAATAGCTGATGTTTAGAGTTTTTATTACAACCGGATACTTTTATCTGTGCTATACAATAGTTGATTTATTTCAGTAAAGAGCCCTGTGAAGTAGGTACTATTTTTATCTCCTTTTTATACCTGAGGCAACAAAGGTACAGAAAGCTTGGGTAACTTGCCCAAGGTCCTGAATTAGTACATGGTAGATCCATGGTAAGAACACAGGCAGTCTGACTTGAGAGCTTGTACTTGTAACTGTCTGCTGGAATTGAGGAGGCAACAGAGCTTTGTACAGAGCAGACTTTGCCTGTTAATAGGTGTGCAACCTTGAACATATCGCCTAACCCCTCTGGGTCTGAAGGGTTTATGTGTTAACATGTCTATGTGGTGGTATTTCTGTTCCTGAGCTTCCCGAGGGATATCCAGTAATTAGTTATCTGTATTGGTTGGGAAAAAGAAAATAACTGGACTTTTCTCCTTTTGCCCAATTCTATGCCACGTTTATTAGCCCCTAGTCCCGATTTTTTCTGCCAGCTGCTCTTAGAAGGCTTATTGAGCAATCTTAACATCTGAGTAGCAGAAGTCCCTGAGTCAACTTGTGCTGAAGAATTGCCACTTAGTTTAATTGTTGTGAGTCTGCTGTTTTCATGGATCTTCAGCTTTAGTATCAAGAAGGGACTTTGTTGGAACATATTTTTTACCTCACTTTGCTCCAGAAAGACTTTGTGTGAACTTGCAGTGTTAGTGTATGTAATATATTTTCTGCATTTAATACGGTTTTCTTAAAGTGCATATAAAACAAGTAACACAACTTTAAAGAACAGAAACCATTTAAAAGGAAGAAAAGGTGCATGAGCAAGTACCTTAGAGTTAGTTACAGCAACTGAGCACTGAACTTAGTTGTGGGTTTCCAAGTGTCAGGGGAAGCATCTGAGGTCACATAGCTTTCATTGTCTGACGAGAAGCAGCATGCAAGTCCTTCTGAAAAGAAACTTTCCTGGCACTGGATCTTGGAAAGACTTTATCAAGTGGATCCTTATTTAAGGGACACTGAGTAACTTAATGAACAATGTCTTCTATAGTGGTTTTGGAAAGGTACCAAAACATTATTAAAATGATTATGTCTTATGGCTCCTTTATAAAACTGAAGGCACAGTATTACGACAATGGAGGCCTTTCTGCATGGAGCAGCTTTAATGAGGTCGGGCTGCATAGTGTTCCAGTTGCATATTTTTTGCATAGGGTTCAAGGTTAGGGAATCTAGATCACTGTTTTAGAAAAAACCTTTTGTTGAATTTTTCATTACAATGGTGTTTCTTAAACTAGGGTATGCATAGTTACCTAAATTTCAAAACATTTGTTACAGGTTTTAAAGGTTTTTGGTGATTAATTATGTCAGGGATAGTAAATGGGTTTCCTCTGCCGACTGCAGTCTTGGACAGATTTGGTCTGGCACTTGTTCTTGAGCCTGGGTCATGTCTCGGAATCTTTTTCAGTTTAGTGTTCAGGTAGTGACTACTAGTGAATCATTTGAAATTGGGAATGAAAGCTTTGCCATTTGCCGGATTAGGTATTTCAAAGTGGGGTGAGGTGGAGGTTTCATGGATATATATAAGTGCAGAGTATCAGAACATTATACAATTTCTCTTTTCATCGGTAGAAATTTGGCTATAAAAGCCATACTGGATACAGTTTGTACTGTATTGATTGCCCTTGATAACTGAGACCAGAGCCTCTCATTAAGATCTAGTTTGTTTCCCTCTGAAAGAATTCCAGGAGATTTGATGTAAGGAGAAGGCTTATCAGCATTTCTTTGCTTAGATGTGTATTTCTCAAAGCTCTGTCTACATTCATTTGGAATATATACTCCATGCCGCTTAAAAGTACTTCAAAATATTCATTTATCCAAGGATGGAAATAAGCAGAGGAGAACGTGAGATTCATTAACATTCATTCCAGAGTGCGAGTGTGGTTTCTTCTTGATTTATGGGTGATCTGTCATTTCACATTATTTGATTGTAACTGTTGCTTGGTCTCAGCTTTTCTCTTGTAGGAAGCTCTTCCTGAAAACATCCTTAAGATATTGGGAAGTGCTCTCCCAAACCAGGTTCCCTACTAGGAAGAAAATGTCTTCTACTAGGCAGAACCGTTGGCAATGAGAGCATTTGGGGGTCCTAAATTTAAAACAGAAACAAAAAAAAAGGATATGAGTGGACTCAGAAAAAGTTCTAAAGGCTGTCAGGCTTTATACACTGATGTAACTAACATGTGGTCATATTGGGATCTAGGGAAATCTAAAGGATTGGGCCACTTCTTTCATTAAAACTTTTTTGAAAATGGTTCTTGTATTAGTCCATTTTCACAGTGCTATAAAGATACTACCTGAGACTGGGTAATTTGTAAATAAAAGAGGTTTAATTGACTCACAGTTCTGCGTGGCTGGGGACGCCTCAAAAAACTTACAATCATGGTAGAAGGTGAAGGAGAAGCAAGTGCCTTCTACACAAGGTGGCAGGAGAGCGAGTGAGCGCAGGGGAAACTGCCATTTTTAAACCATCAGATCTTGTGACAACTCCCTCACTGTCACGAGAATGGCATGGGGGAAACCACACCCATGAACCAGTCACCTCCCACCAGGTCCCTCCCTCAACATGTGGGGATTACAGTTCAAGATGAGATTTGGGTGGGGACACAGAGCCAAATCATATCACTCTTATTTAGGGCTTGACAGAAAAGAAGTTAGGGAGAAGCACTGTGATGCAAGTGAGATAATTTTATCATCTAGAGTAAAGTCAGGCTGATAACCTACTTAAGCAACCTGCCTTCACTGGATCTCATGCCAGAGTCTTAAAAATGGAGGCAGTTGTCCTGAGTGTTCATTCTAGTGTTAAACCATGTTGAGACTATGCATCTTACTAGGCTGGTGTCACTGATCAGTGTTAAAATGATGTTTCCTGGAACTCCAACTCATGATTTTTAACAACTTACATTTAAACTTCTATGAAATTACAAGGTGTTTTATAGTTGATGACTGCACTTAATGTAATGTCCTTCCCTTCCTCCAAACTTACAATAAATGGAAGAGTTATTAAGTTGATGGTGTCTGTAATATGGCATGTGTTAGAGACTACAGATTTCTTATGATGAGCGTAAGATGTTAATTATTAGCCTTCATTTAGCTCCTTTACAGCCAAACCTGTTGTCTTTGGATTAGCATACATGGTGAATAAAATGTGTCAGTTACCAGTGACTTAAAGTGTTGTCCTTAGGGTTGATGGGATGTGTCATCTGACTCCAGAGTAGGTTTATCTTTTGAGGAGACAAAGTGTCTACAATAGTGGCCTTCAACCTTTTTGATAATGACCTACAGTAAAAAATATGTATTTTACCTTTTGACCAAATAAACTCACATGTGGACACATGCACATGTTTCATAAAACAATAATTATCCTGCTCTGTGTGATGTGCTGCTGATGTTTTTCTATTCTTTCCTGTTTCATTTTTTAAAAATGCTGGTCTCAGCCCACTCAATTAATTTCTGTGGGCATTCGATCCACTCGATTGAGTTCACATCCCACTAATGGGTCACAACCTACCCTTTTAAAAACTGCTTTACAAAGTTAATTAACCAACAAGAATAAAGGCTGCCTTATTCACAGGCATCCTATAACTTCCTTTTGCCTGTTTGAAGGCGTAAAAGAAAAGATGGATGAAATACTAGTAAATTAGTAAGATAAACTATCAGATCAAGTAATATAGAATAAAAAGTAAAAGAATTTTACAAACATTAAAAAGTCCTCCTAATGATTAAGTGCCTTTTTTGTTTGAATTAATGAAGATGGCTAACAATAGCCTGCTTCTGTGAGACCACAGGTAGTTTTTGTCATTGGGATTGTCTTCTGTAGGTGTGATATTGAAGTCTGATATTCGTAGGCTGTAGAAAGCCTCAAGCCCAAGGCATAGCCAAGGAACCTCCACAGGCTGCCAATCATGGAGTCTGAGTTTTAGGTAAGGGCCAAGAGAAAGACATTTGACTTAGCTGCTGATGAAAACATGCCAGTTGCCATTAATGAGTCCCTTCTTCCATAACCCTAGTTGCCTGGGAAAAATGGTAACATAACCAGTATGATGTTTTCTTCACTATCATAGAGTGAAATATTTTTTTTTTCAGTGTAAGAAAGGGGAGAATTCTGACTAAATTTAGTATTACATTCTTATCCTAGAACACTCAAGGAAAAACTTGTTTTATGATGAACTAGAGCCATATGCTACTTAAAGTTTTTTTTTTTTTTTTTTTTTTTTTATCGTATTTATAAGCTTGTTTGACTTGGTTCTGTGTCTCTAGAATCTTGTGGAAGAAGAATGAAGTTGCTGATTATGAAGCTACAACATTCTCCATCTTCTATAACAACACTCTGTTCCTGGTCGTGGTCATTGTTGCTTCCTTCTTCATATTGAAGAACTTCAACCCTACAGTGTATCCTTTTCAAGGTTGATTATCTTTTTTAGAAGCCTAGAAACAGTAGTTCGTTTTGGTTCTGACTTGTCTGGATATTTTAAGTGGAGAGAAAAGCTGCTCTGGGAGTCAGTCCATTAAATAGTGCTGACTTTAGGTAACTTTCTGGACATTTAAAATAACAGCTATTGGTTTAAGATTCTTTTAAGTTTATGAATTATGACTTTATGATAAAGTATTACAAAGCAGTCTATGGGAATCTGTGTCCTTGCCTACTTAAAAAAAAAGCTCCAAAGAGCCAAAGCAAACTTGTCATTTTTGATAGCTTTTGAAATAATAAGCCTCTGTATCTGCTGTTATTTTTGGGCTCAGGGGGTTGGGTGGATGGCCAATGCAGTTAAATAGGTTAATTCCAGTGTATCTTAATAGTGTTTCAAGATGCTGTTAAATTGAGCTTTTGGGCAAGAATCAGTCTTCTCTTATTAATTTATTAAAGTTGTTATCCAGGAATGTGCAGCCAAGATTTTAACAATTGGTGATTATGATGTAATAAAATACCAGATACCCTCCAACGTGTACCTTTTGGGAATGCTGGAGTGGTTTGCTGAAAATTGTACAGTTGTGAGGCTGGGAGTAGCTTTGAACTTTTAGAACCTCTTTGCTGTTGCAAGCCAACTGCAGCAAAACACTGATTCGCAGGGAAGACTTATTTTTCCATTGCTCTTAGGGGGGAAAAGGGAAAACAAATCTCTTTTCTCCCCATGTTCTTTGATCAGCTCTTTTCATGAAGGTTAAATGGAATTCAGATTATTCTTTGTGATCGTGTGTTCTAGGTTTCTGTCTTAAGTGTTTTTTTAAAATTGGAACACATTTCCTGTGAATGTTTTCCATTTCTTTTTGGTCTTCTGTCTGTCTTGCAAATTGTGTGCAGACAATGGGGCTGCACATCATTATGATTACACCAAGTGTCAGGAAGGAAGCAGTACGTTCCAAAGAGATGGGCTCTTTATTTTGTCGAAAAACTAATTTGGAGTTACTCATTTTTCCATAACATTAAATTTCTTACAGGAACTACATCTTGTCCATAAGTGCTTCATCAGGACTCATTGCCCTCCTGTCTACTGGCTCCAAATAGACCATGTCAGCTTCACCCCCTGGCTTTGTGGGTATGGGTGGCCTGTGGTATATGGAAAAGTCGCAGGGTGGTCAGGGTGGGAGACACACAAGATGTTTTCATAGTCTAGAGCCTTTAAAAAACCCAGCAGAATGTAACTCAGAATTTGTTTATTGGCTGTTTTTGACAGATTGCTGAAATTAAATGAATTGAAAGGGAAACTCAGAGTACCAGGACGTTTATTAAAAGGAAAAAAATGTCTTGCAATGTGCTATAATCACAAGAGGAGAAAATAACTTGTTTCCTTGATCTGTCAGAGGTCACAGTAACCTGGGCCGAGCTGTTATTATTTATTATATAACAGTAGTAGGAAGTTAATAACTGGTTCTCTGTGTTCCAAGCACAATATTGCAGCTTCTTTTGAACCATAAATATCCGAATGAATCCTCTTCCCAGGGGATTGAACAGAAGCTTAATGTTTAAAAGTGTTTGAATTTGTGATCTGAAATAACGCAAAATTAAAAACATGATTTCTCCAGTTTTCCAACTTGAGGAAGAGAAACTTGTGGAAAAGTTCTGCTGTTTTTTTTTTTTTTTTTTTTTTTAAAGAAGAAGGGCAGCCAAGGTAGTAACCTAAAAATAGTGCCCAGGCATATGAGAGTTGTCCTATGAGGTTAAAGAACACACTGTTCCGCTGTATGGCTTTGGCCCTGAGTGGCCATGGAGGTCAGCTTGACCCTGCCATGTTGGTTTGACTTACTAAGACATAGGAATCATTGTTTTCCTTGACCAGGGTCTCACACCCTGGAGGAATGTTAAGTAAGAGAGAGAACCTCTTTCCTGAATATTGACATGTAAAAGACCAAAGTAATTTTTCTGAACTTCTGCAATTCTGAGAACTTTCCAAGGAATTTACAGTAATTTTAGTGCTTGTCAGCATTTTTCCATGAGGACTTTCATACATTTGACTCTTTAGTTCACAGATTCCCATTGATTGTGAGTAAAATATTTCTCTCTTTAGCCCTTGGGGATCCAGCTGAGAGGAATCTCTTGCATTTTTTTACCAGTGTATGTACAGATATTACTTGTGTGTGCCATGACTTGAAAAAGTTTGGGAAGCTCTTTAGCAATATCAGCTAAAAGGCTATGAAATCACAGGTGACAGCAGTTGTCATTCAGTAATTTCCTACAAGCAGCACCCCAAAGGAAATACAGTCCTAATCTTTAGTATCCACTTCTAAATTTAATGTGAATTTCATATCTGTTATTAGTTGTTTTCTTTATAATTTTATAAAAATTATCCATCAGGAGTTTAACTTCCACTTCCCATGCTATTGGATGTGTTGGGCTCCATCCAACAACTTGGAAGAAAAATGGGCAGGAATACATTTGCATAATGACCCAGATCATTTTCTGCAACTGAGAATTATATTTCATCATTGCTTCCAGAAGTCTGCAATTCTTTACTTTTCCTTGGTGGATTATTATCTAGCTGCCATCACTGGATAATGTGGAGTGACTAGAGAAGTCACATTCACTGCAAGGTACAGTTAGGGTAACACTTAGGAGGTTTATTATTTTTAAAAAACTTTTCTTGAACTCCTGGCCAACATGGTGAAACCCTATCTCTACGAAAAATACAAAAATAAGTGTATTTTTTGTACACTAATTTTTGTACACACCACATGTGGTGGCGGGCGCCTGTAATCTCAGCTACTCAGAAGGCTGAGGCAGGAGAAGCTTTAACCTGGGAGGTGGAGGTTGCAGAGAGTCGAGACCCTGCCACTGCACTCCAGCCTGGGTGACAAGGGTGAGACTCCATCTCAAAAAAGAAGCAAAAAAAACCCAAAAACTTTTCTTTACTGTTGATTAAAAAAAAAAAAAAAGAGCCAGACCATAGTTTGACTGGTGGCATGGAATCTGTGTATCAAATAAATGCATTTCCTTATTTGACAAACCATCAGTGTCTACTATTTGTTACCAGAGTTGGGCCACTATCTTTTAAAATTGCTGGTGAAAACCTGCCACTAGATGGCAGTGCCTGTATAGATGGGGAAAAAATCACCACCATTCTTGGTACAATATAGTGTAGCTTAGATGAGGTGGTGAAATAGAGGTATCAGCCTAATATTCCTAATATAGTTTCTCTTGAATTAATAAACTGAAGATTTCTAGGAAAATAAGTGAGCAAAATTTGTTTCCTCTTGTGAATTTTTCCTACAGCACTCTTTTTAATCTTGATGTTTTCCAACTTTCTGTACTAATAGATACATTTCTGTGCATAAGATTATGAGGCATATACTCACAGTTCAGTAGTTTTTGTTGAGGATTTACTGTGTGAGTACTTCATTGTCAGGAATTGCAGAACCTTTTCCCCACTGCTCTCATCGTCTAAAAGTTCTGTGTGGCACACAGAGATGCGACCCACTCAGTCAGACTTAGATAGTGAAACCATACTGTAGAATTTTTGTCGTAAAAAGACCACATACCCAGCACCCGTGAAATAAAAGATTCATCTGTAACTGGGATTCAAACTGATTAAATTCCTTTGCTCATACTCGTAAGTAGCACTAAAATGTTACAACATTTTCATGTACCTATTTTTAGTTCCTCCATTTTAACTTACTAAAAATCTTGGATTGATATTCTTAACCAATAAAAGTTTACTGGTAGTCTTATTTGGCATATTATTGAAACTTGGAAAGGATAATTTGAAACAAGGTTTGAAGTTCACTGAAATACAGAGATTGAATTTATACTCAATTCTTGTGAAAAGTCTTGCTTAATAAGTATGATTAAACTTTGCTTTTTGAAATTTGTCTTTTCCCTACACTTCTTTATAAGAATCCTATGATGAAGTACATAATCTTTATTATATTACATTAACTATCATTTTTCTTTTCAAATTGCTTTATTTTTAATTTTACTTTAAGTTCTGGGATACATGTGCTGATCATGCAGGTTTGTTACATAGGTATACATGTAACCATCATTTTAATATCTCACACATAAATGCACATCTTTGTAGTTACCGATCAGATATATGTGAGGCAATGAAAGGCACTGAGCGGTTACAATAAAGGGCAGACATCAGGCCTCTGCCAGTATGTACCTGCTGTGCCTTTCTGCCTGCCCTCTTTCTTTGTTTTCAGTGTGCATGCCAGTCACTGCTGCTTCTGGAGACAGGATGGAAGGATACATGTATGTGTCATTTATGGAGAAAACCAATTTATAGATGTATCTATTAGAGCTCTAAGGGATTCTCTTTCACTTCCTTGGGACTCCCAAGCAGAGGAATTAATAGAAGACTAGGAGGGTCTTGGTTTAAATTTTCAGGAAGATAGAGACTAACTTCTCGTTGGCCTTTATGAATTTTCAGTATATCTTTTCGCTGACTTTTCCCTGTTTGATTTCTGAGTTTGGATTAATACTTAAGTTTTTTAACTTCCAACATTCTCACAATTTCTGCATAAAACTTTAAAGCCTTTTAAAGGAAAAAAAAAATCTACCTAAAGGAGCCCTGACATAGAACACAAAATGCTTGGGTTCCAGGCCTGGTTCTGCCATCAGCTAGCAGTGTGTGAGTTTGGGCAAGTTTTTTTCATCTATCCAGGCCTGCTTTGCTCATTTGTGAGAGGGATGGCTTTGCAGATTGCTAAGGTTCCTTCAAGCTCTGACATCTGCCTAATGACTTGGGCAGTCTCTTCATGAAGATCAAGTGACAGTTCTTAAAGTGGGAAGCCAGACACAGGGTTTCTAGTTTGCCTGAGATTTCCATATAGGGATGGCTGCTACCCAAGTTACCTTTTGGAATGATATATTCTCTGCCAGGGAATTCTTTTCGGAAGAGAAAAGAAAATTAGAGTGCGTGGAAATTTTCCTAAGGACGTAACTGAAATACATTATCTAGTATATTTACCGTGACAGATTCGCATATAAAAAACTGGCTCTTCCCACAGCTAAGCCATAATATTTATATTTGGTTTTGATTTGCAAGTTTTTAAAAGTGAATTCATGAAGCCTTAACCTTAGTGCAGAGTGTTCTAAAACTCAGTGAGAAATGATATCTTCAGTAGTTAATCTCCATTGATAGAAAATGTTTGGATTGCAATTTAAATCTCAGACTTTTGATCACTGCTATTTCTGTTGAGTATTCAGTGCAGCTTAGCTGCCAATATAATTTTTATTTAGATGATTATTGCCTATTTTATGGCCACATATATTTTATATGTGTATATTTTACATATATGGAAAATATACATAAGCCTTAAAATGAAAGATCAGATAAAATCTATTGTGAGATTTAATGCACAAAATGCTTTTATTACTCTAAGCAAATAAATCACATTTCCCATTAGACGGCACCTCAGCTCCTCTATACGTACAGCAGTTCACTGGATTGAATACACAATGAACAACTGAAAAAATGATCAATTTCCATCATTCTGATATTCGGGCAAAAAATTCAAACTTTGTTAGAATACAGGTACTAGTAATCAAAAAGAAAATTTCTTGATATCTCCCACTAGCATTTTCAGATTTAGAATTTAACCATGAAATACACATTTAGAAATAATGACAGAAAATAACATTTTAAAATGATACTACAATTCTTCTGTAAACCTCAAAGTGATTTCTGTATGGGGAAGTCGCTGACCAGAAAATTAAATGAGAATTTTGTACATCCTCAGATATCCAAATAAAGTTAAAGGGCCACCTCCACACCACCCCCTTCAAAAACAAAAAACATATTTTCTCTCTTTTTACAGATATTGACACAGTATATTCTCACAATTTTTCTCAAGTGGGATATTAATGAGGGTAAGTAGCCAATAGTGGCAGGGCTAGATATACCTCAGATTTCGAGTGCAACAAGGGTAAGCCCCATTAATCCATGCAAAGAACTTTCATGCATATAGTTGAGTGCATATAATAATATATAACCAGAAGTTCTTTAACATTTTGCTTTTCACTAGGCAGTTTAATTTACCCAGCATATTCTGAATAGTGACATAGCATTTTTTCACAAAGCCAGTGGTTGACTTTCATGTTAACAACGCTTCAAAAATACCAAACATTATGTTGAAAATCCCAGTGCTAATTAAACAATGAACATTTGCCTTTCTGGGTATTTTACAGGTTTACTTAAAAAACTGAGCATGTATTATGTTTATTTTTAAAGCTCAAATATTTAAACTTGCAGAAATTGTGCCTCCAAGCAGTTGACAGTATAAAGCAGGTTTTAATAAAATGTAGTAACAAATGAACACCTAATTGCAGATACATTGCATTTTCTTCAAAGCTAAGTTTCCGTAGCAGTGTAGCCCTCTCTTTTATAAATCAGCTGTAATGTCACTAAAGATTGGGTTATTCATCCTTCTACTGTCACTACTTGTAAGTGGATATAACATTAGAATCCTAATAGACATTCTGGATAAGTTGTACAAGGCCATTCTTGGGGCCACGCAACAGTAAATATTTGAAAGGTAATAAAGCCAAAATACCCAGAAATTGTAGTTTTGTTGAACAACAAATGGAACAAAACGTGTTAATATGAATGTGAAAATAGAAAAAAATATATATAAAATTCTTTCTGCTTATTCTTCCAAGCAAGACTTTTGAGTGAAGATACTGTTTTTTTTTTGTTGTTTTTTTTTTGTTTTTTTTTTGCAGTGAGATATATTTTTAATAACTATTTACTTAACAAGAATCTATTTCCTAAGAAAAATCTCTGAATTCCTTTCCTTCACTGAATTTAGTCTGTCTACTCTGTTTCTTATGCAACTCACATTGCATCTGTGGATTTTGTTCTTTTGAAAAAATATATCTGTACAGCCTTCTTTGAGTTACCAAATGCCTGAAGGTAATACATCACCTCCCGGCCCCCATATTCTTCCCATTGCATAAGCATGAGGTGTATACAGCAATGCAAGAATAGGTGACTCCAGTCCAAGATAAGAAAATAGAATGGATTTTCTTGGTTGTGAGTTTTCAGATGTGCACAGTGGTAGCGACAGCAGACACCTCAGAGAATCCAGGGAGGGACACTAGAGGTTGAGCAGCAAGCTGCTAAGTGATTGAAAAGACTGGTTAGTAACACCTTTCTGTACTGGGCACAGGCCGCTATTTTAACCATGCAGCTTCTGTGGTTCATGCATTGCCTTATGATCTATAGTCCTTCTTGCTGTAGGGCTTGTTGCGCAATATGTTATCAATCTCATTTACCACATGTGATGTCATCTTTGGGAGAACCTGAGAGCAGGAGGAGAAGTACAAAGGATATTGTTAGCAGTGTTGATCATTCGTTTTTTTTGTGCTCTATATTTAGCAAATCAATCTAGAATCGTGTATCTTCACAAATCACAGCTGAAATATAACCACCCCCCCATCACATTGTAACCTCCTTGAGGTCAGGGGCCTTGTTGATTGCATAAATGAAGGCATAA